TTCCATTACTTGTGCACAGCTTGGTGTCGCAATGATGATCAGGGCGATCATTAACGAGAGTATTGTTGTCGTAGAGGTTGCGTATTTGGGGGAATGCCATCGTCTCCGCTGTCTTAGCTGGCTATAATGAGATGACATGGCTCCTGGTGTCTTTGAAAGGAAGGTATTTATAACGAGCGTCAGTAGAGATGATGTTCGATGGTAAAGAACGGACGCCTCTGAGTTCTCCTCAGGGCACGCACTGCGGCAGGACAGTCGTGAAGCCGAGAGGCGCTCACATCGACTTTCGAGAACGTGCTGAGTCCTCGACGCTGTAGTGCCTCTCACCGCTCAGGTATTCGAGTTTCACAGAGTCGAGAGGCTTTCGGTCATTGATATTCAGTTGATCGCACCCGATTTGGACTCCGGGGAACGATGTCGCACGTGTCGCACCCTGGACGTTGATCCTGCTGATCTGCCGCGGAACCAAACGTTGTGCCGCTTCGGGAATAGAACGTTTCAAGGTGAAGACGATAAGCAAGGAGCCGGGTTCGAGATCTGTCTGAGTCGCAACGATGGGAAATGTATGATGCGATACCCGTGCAGTGTTGTCAAAGCAAGACGGAGAGACAGCATTCAACAATAGCAATGTCTTAGAACACAAAGACTGAAGAAAACGAACAGAACAACCATAATCAGACCTTCCGCAAACAAGCAGGTTAGTCAACACACACCTACCAGGATATGAGCACTGGCTCTGGAGATTGAGCCCATCCAAAACATGTGAGCGGTATCTTTACCAGTCAGCGTTAGCACAAGCCGGCCATTGGAATGTGGGCACTCTTGGGACAATGGGAGGCCGAATTAATGCCTCCACCAGGCGTTAAGGAGGCGTTCGAAAGCGGAAAGCCTCACATTCCTTCTGGTAAGCCTGTGAACGTGTGGATGGCAGAGAGGTAGGAGGCGCTTCGTGGCGCTCCGCCCACAAACTCATTGGGGGTCCAGAGACGGTCAACCACGAGGAAACGTTCATTTCGGCCAAGGTAGTTCGGATTCTGGGCCTCCAATGGCCCCCCTTTCGTGGTCCAGAAGAGTCAGACTGTCGATCATGGACTTGGTCTAACCGACATCAAGTGCCCCATCCACCCCATTTCCATCTCTTAGCACGAGCACACCCTGTCAAACACTGACAGAAAAGGTCCATGTGGTTGACGGGGGACGGGAAAGGCTGACGCCGCGGTCGCGCTAGGACCACAACCGCATCGGGAGAGGGAGGATTGCAGGGTGCTGCATTCTATCGACACACTCGAAACGTCAACACGTCAACTCTGTCAGAAAAGGATGGTATCCCTGCAGGGAGTTACTCGTAGGCAAGTTTCGTGCTTGCGCAGCAGTTTCTCGGTGGAGGAGTTTAGGGAGCTTGAACTGAGTCAAGGACAAACTCTGAAAGAGACGAATTTACCGGCGACTCGCTTGAAGGTGCCAAGATTCAATAGTCAGGAAAGCCACCATGAATGCAAGAAATGGCGTGAATCAGGGGGCCGACGAACATGGAGTCAGAGCATCTGAGAGTCTCCGGCTGCGCCCCCAAATTCGTCGCTACAAAGGACGAGTTCGAGTATGGCGAATCCTGGCCTGTTGATGATAATCCTCATCCTACAGCATGGGAGAAATCATCGGCTTATGCGCTTCTTCGTCATCTCATTGGTCTTGCTATATAATTGGTCATTTCCCCCCCTTCCTCTACCACCGGCTGGCTACAACTCAATAAATAATGTCATGGCAAAGCAAGGTATCGTGTCAACTTGCTCCATCGCAGTCAAAAATGCTCCACGTCAACTTCGTCTCTGGTCAGCGTCGAAAGCCAGGGGACCCAGCTCGGCTTCATGCTGCTGGGAGCGTAGTCTATTCTCCTTCTCCTGCAGACGTCGGTTGAAACCCATGGTAGCCCAACCTCCGAGCCGGTTGAAGAACACTCGGCCTGCAGGGTGTTGTCTGACCCGGTCCAGGAGACTTGTGACTGCTTCTCGAACTCGCCAGTCTTCATGCCAGAGTCCCAGGGCGACGTAGAACAGTCCTGCTTCTGACATGGGTGCCATCTCCAGCAGCTCCAGGATACTTTCGTAGTCAGTGCAATAGGCTTCCAAGGCCAGATAGATGGCTCCAGCTTCCGTGGGAGTCAGGTGCAGGGTCCTTAGTTTAGACAACGAATGATACAGATCCACGTACGGCTTCGTCGGTGCTCGAGCCAGCATCTTGGTCATACTGACTGGAGACGTTGGCGAAGTCGGGTCCTGCGCATGTGCCGCGAGATCGGAGATGAAGGCATAGTAGGATCGCGTATTACGCCATCCTTCGATTCTGGCTGCAGATGCTGCCAGTTCGCGGGTTTTGGCGTCCTCGCTCGGCCAGACATAACCATGTCCCTTCAGATTCTTACTGGAAGTTTTGAGAGACATGGGCCGAGCAGGTGGTGCAGGTGTAGTCGCAGTCGCATCCACGTTATCCACCTCTGTCGGAGGTATCACCGTCAGATTGCTAGCTCCATATACAGTCTCTTCGAAGGCTGCCGCTATGCGAGTGAATTTCGTGATATAGGCTCGAAATTTGGCGCGAATGATAGACTCCCCGGCTCGAGACGTGATGCTTCGACTGATGTCTTCCATAAAGAGTCCATCTCCCGTAGCGTCAGAGTGATGGAGGTCTTTGTGAGTCAACGCAGCATGCCCGTGCTGCTGGAAAAAGGTTGTCCCCTCTGTGACTGGGGCAGCCTCAATGCAGGATGAGATTTTCATCCTGCCTGACGGCAGGTCGCAGAGCAGGTCCCACCATTCGGGGTGGTAGGAGAAGGCAGGATTCGTGACACCCGCAATGAATCCCGGGACTTTCAGAAGTTCGTCGATCTTGGTCAGATCGGTATATGGGAATGCATGACGGGTGAACCCTCGTAATACACCACCCGAAGCCAATGCACATGCTGCAAGGACAGCTTCTGCAACCTCTCCGGAGGGCCGATTGTGACCCAGGAAGATGACTCTCTTCTGGGTCAGCATGGCATTGATGAGGACAATTATTGGATGCGTGAAGGCTCCAGATGTAGTCAGGTGGGGATGTAAGGCAAAAGGCTGGGGTTGAGACAGATGGGGATTGCCAAAGATTTGAACGAGCTTGATGAGTGAAAAGTCTCCCACTGTTTCAGGTGACAAAGCTGTAGGGATCTTGACTGGGATCGGGATGCTGTTATAAACAATCTTTGACTCGAACTCGTGTGTGTCTCTGGGAACCAAATACTTCTGCTCTTGTTTTGTTGGCGATTCCGGGGCGTCTGAAGTCTGTGCAAGGGCCTCGTCTGCTAAGCGTTGGGCAATCATCTGCTCGAATTTCTCCACAAACATGTCCTTAACGTCGCTTGCCTGCAGAATGTGTCGCTCCAGCAGTGACAGCCGTGGCATCAGAGACAAATCCATGGCATTCAGTGCATTGTATAAGAGTTCCAAAGTGTCGGGCGTGGGTGACTTGAAATAGTCCTCGAGGGCGAGCAACAAGAGCGGTTTGTATATGTGGAGAAAAGAGTGCCTCGTACAAATGGCCATTGCCTTTACAATAGCGCCTCTTTTCACCGAGCTGTCCTGTTTGGTATTGACGAGGTTTAGGACATACATTAGGGGAGGGCTGTCCATGTCGTCTGCGTCACTTTCATCACTACTGGTGTCGTCTGCGGATTCTTCTCCTTCGACATCATCCGTCTCACCCGCTTCTCGCGCCCGTCTTCTTGCCTCGCGCTGGATCCTTCGAGCTTCTCGCTCAGCGGCCTCGTCTTCACTTGTGCCAGCATCTTTGTGTAAGAAGAACATGGTCCAGTCTTGTTGCCGGACATGTGTTTGATCGGGAAGCATCAGCTCGGCCAACATGTTCTCGTCCGGGCTGATCGCACCGGGAAACTGATGTTCCATAATAGGGCCCCGATCGATGTCGAACGAAGCAACGAGTATGTATTCCACATGAGGCTCGCTTGAATGGAGCGGGTATTGCGATCTTAATCTCTTCGAGGGACGAAATGGCCCATCTTCGTATACCGTCGAAACCCTTTGAGAAGAGCGGTAGGAGCCTCTAGGCGACGGAGGTACTAGGGAGCTTTGGGAGGACACTTTGTAGTGGGAAAAGGTGGACTTGTGAGAGCCCGAGTTGGAAGAGGTGGATCGCGGGCGGTCATGATGTCCGCTCATGTTCACAGGATGGGGTCGATAAACAAGTGTTTCGGTCATGGCTTCGTCAAGATCGTTGTCTTCGTCGTCGTGGTCGGCGCCGTCAGATTTTCTAGGTTGAGTATGGACAAAGTGTTGTGTCGTTATCATTAGCCCTCGTCGGGGTTGGAGATGTCGCAGGAGATGGAAAGCGATTGAGGGGCGATGTTTCAGTCCTCAGAAATAAACCCAGCCCGCGATCTTTAGCGAGGTATATGTGTCAGAAGTCTCCCAGAAAACACCGTTTACCAAGATCCGACATGTGGCGGCTGAGGTATGTACAGTCCAAAGTTTGCTTTCGGTCCTGCTAAAGAGACTGGATGCTGAAGGGGGCACAGGTCTCCTACGCTGCGGAGGCTCCCCATAAATTTCACCCCCTGCAATCGCGGGATTAAGAAGCCCCTGAGATCGGCAATTTAGCGCCCGAGACTGGATTGCAATGTGCTGATTGGGGGCTTCGGGTTCAAAGCGCCCAGGCGCCTCCTCCCGAAAAGCTCGCAAAACCTTCCCAATGATTTCGATGCTTGCTGCCCTGCCAACATCGGCTTGTTTACACAATCACATGCCTGGAGATGGTTGTCGCATTTACAACTCTCACAAAGAGGACTTCACCCCACAACTTACCGGCTATCTCTAATTCAGTCAGTGCCTCAAACGATTTCTTACACCAGAGGACCTCTTCGAAAAAGATTTGGACTCATCATCTACCCCGTGGCTCGTACTCACTCCCTCACCAATTAAAACAACTAGGAGTGGGTAGATGTCCTTGACGTGACAATGGTACGTTCGACACCTCTTGTTGCCTCTCATCAATTCGCTAAGTCTTTTGTCTGTCCAGTCTTCATACAAATCCACATTCAACAACTCTCCCCGTTCGTCGCCTTTTCGCCGTCCTGGTTCGCCCGGTTCCCCAACACTCGTCAGTGGAGGAAGACCAGCAACACCTCCAACAAACAGGAGCGCTGCTTCCCCTTTGACTTCACCATCTAAACTCAAGCATGCTTATACAGTCTCGGAAGAGGAGGAAGACGAGATCACAGTGTCAACACCGTCAAGAACGACCACGGATCAGCCTTTCAGAAGAGCACAAACCGAACCTCCACCTTCACCAATAGCACGCCAATCACAACCATCATCGCCCTCAAAATATGAGGCGGGGCAGTTCCTGTCGACCAACTCAAAGACTTCAGCGAGTAGGGAGCCAAGAAGACTCGTGTCCAACGGCATGCTATCTCAAAACGATAATCTCTCAAAACTGCCACCGCAGCTCCTGCATAACATGCGCGAGTCCTTCTCTGTGCTCGACTCAAATTCCAACGGTACAATCGACGCCTCCTCTGTGGCGGAGACGCTGCAATCCCTGGGACTGCACGAAAGCAATCTGTCTCAATTCTTCCCACCAGGACAGCCGCAACAGATGTCCCTTCCGCAGTATCTCAATCAGCTCGCCAATATATTGGTGGGGTTATCACCCCAACAAGAGCTGCTCAATGCTCTGTCTGCCTTCGACGACGATGACAGCGGACAAATCGATGTTGCAGAGCTTCGCGCGGCTTTAATGAGCACAGTACCAGACCCGGGTGAACGACAACTGACCGCAAAGGACATCGACCGAGCAATGGAAGGTTTCACGGGAAGGAGGATTTTGGGCAAAAATGTGATTGGAATCGCAGGAGTGCGAGGCTTGAAAGACCCTGCTCCAAAGAAAGGAGGCGATGTGTTTCGTTACCAGGAGTTTGTGGCGAATCTGACAGGCGGACCTGCAACAGACTCGGTGCATCCGCAGGGTGTTTCCTCGCGGTAATGGTGATCAATGAATAATGGTTCGACGTTCCGGCGTTACGAAGGGGTCATGGATCGTATACTGGTCGCACATTATATATTTCCAGGATGAATACATTGGCGTCTATCAGATTGGCGAGGATATATTGGCCTTTTAGTACTTCCACAACTTGTCTTGGAAGTATGAAGTAAGATCGAGCTCTACTACTACTGCGCCCTCTCTGATGCATCGACACAGGACCAAAGATATTGCTGTCGTTGCTACCGCTGCCTCTTAAGCGGTGGCGCTATTCTATGCCTTTTTCCCTCTTCGATCCTGGTCCTCACGTCATCGAGACCAAGCAGCATTATGAGATCTATCTTATAATGGTTTCTTCAAGTTTTAGTTTCTACATATACATTTAATCCTCCTGGTCCCTCTCAAGTCCGTATCCGCAACCTAGGGGTCTTGGACCCGTGACGCCTCATCGTGAGGAGTGATCGACTATGGGAACTGCCAGTTCCTCTGGCAATATCAAACATCAAGTATCAACAGGGTATAAACTCTCAGATTCCATGTCATCACGCCCGTGGTTTCACATCCCATGCCAAAAAGCTCCATATAGTTCAATAGCGGTTCATTGAATGTTCCTCGACTACTCGAGGACTCACTTCTTCGATGTCTTTGGTGGAGGAGGGAAATATAGCTGCGGTGCGGCTGGCTCCTGAGGACTAAAGCCAATTTCAGGAGACTTGCCGTTCGCCCTCTCCGAGTCGGTGCCTACTCGTTGAACGAATCCCGGACTCATTGGGCTTCTCGGCAAGTCAGGGCTCTGAATCGCAAAGGATGGAGATGTAGCGCGGGGCGCATTCGGCGAGCTGAAATGATTCCGCAAGGGGAGGTCTTTCGTTCCACCTAGAGTGTTGAATGCAAGTGTTCGCGGAGTCATAGGGTTCATTCGACCATTCATGAAGCCTGGGGTATCAGGCACAGGGTGTGTCTGTACAGTCTGACCGGTCTCATCGTCCTGGTAGGTTTCAAATTTCGCCCATCGTTCAGCCTTGAGCCGGGCATTCTCGGAATATTCCTCGCGCTGTTGCTTGCTGGGAAAACACGAATAAACGGCAAATCCGAAATAGGTGACGAAAATGCCTAGCATTGCGCAAGAGCATGCAAAGGCAGCTTTCGCCTGTGTACAGTACCCGACATTGTTCTTATTATGGGCCACGTTACAGGATTTGGTGATGTACCAAGGTGCACCGTGTTGAGGGTGGTCCGGGTCAGTGGTGTCACTGCTCGCTTGGTAGTTTACCGATACGGCGTATAAGACGAGAAGGCCGGTGTGAACAAGGACGGATAGAATCGGTGGGAACACATGAAGCATATACATGATCGATTTGACGAGCATGATGAACATGGAAAGGACAGTGATCGCAACATTATAATCGGTTATACTAGTACAAGAGGTCAGCCGTGAGTTTTCAATCTGCGACGGAAGACGCTCACAATTGCGACCAGACCTTGGGCGTGGAATAGGATCGATAGTTGGCAGCTGCATATAGCCCTGTCAATGGGCTCGAATTGAAGCCATTGTCTGCACCATCTTGCCAGAGCCTTGTTCGGTAAGTGTCTGGAGAGGCAATACCGAATAATGCCAGGAGAGCGATGGTCAATGGAATTTCAATGAGTATGAGGACATAGAACGGCCATTTGTTCGGCTTCCACCGCCGCGAAAGGAAGAATTTCATGCTGCTGGTATCGAGAGAATGCGTTCTCGTCTTGGTTGTCTGCGAAATCGCAAGTGATGGTGCGTTGCTCTGTCGATAAAATGGAATTTGTCTATTGAGAATGTCGCCTGTTCAACCTGGGTATCGCCGTTGTAGGACGTCGAGTCTTTCTGCACCCTGCGCGAGGACACAAGACTCTGGGCTCATAGGCATGGCATGAGGAGAGAAAAGGACACAGAGAATGCGCCGGTCTCATAAAAGGCGGCCATGGAAAGGTGGGAGGTGCTTACATGGCAGCACCAGATGCAGGCGCTTACAGGCCGAGATGGCGAATGAGCGTCGCCGAGCCATATCAAGGGTGCACCAATAGGCGGGGTGTGAAGAACGAGCAGCGGTGACTGGGAATGCAGCACACCCGAACGATTGGTTGGAGCCGAGGTGATTGAACCTGCTAAGCATCGAATCGCTGAGCTTAGGGGAGAGGTGCCCCTCTCAGAGCTACGGGATTCGGGGTGTTGGGTTGGGTGGTTGGACCCTAACGGGCAGATCCAGGTTCCAGCGGGTGCCTGTCCCCTCTTTTCGTCCAGGCCACCCATTCTGTGACTGCCGTGCCTTCAGGGTCCCAGTGTGATGACTGACCGACCATCACCTGCCTTTGCGCAGCGAAGCACCAAAGGTACAAGTAACTTTCACAATTGAACCCCCCGGAAACGCTGCCGATCTTCTTAACCGCTTCATGTCCAACACAGAACCGATAATAATGAGTTTACTCCGTTACTTTGATACCAGAGAGTATCCTCCTAGGGGTCACTGAGCTCTCTGAGAAAACACACCCCAGCAAAGACCTCCCCGCGCGAGTGATGGATAACTCGGCTGTGATATGCCCTCACCTTATCACGCACTTCTCCAAACTGGTGGGCGAGGCTGCAGCCTCGTGGGTCGGAAAATTTGTTCTCCGGATTTTACCGGTCTCCATGTCACGTGATACACTCTATTTTAAGTTTCCCCCTTTTCAAAATTTCATGGCCTCATCCATCTGGCTAATTTTCTGTCGATCTCTCACTCTCGCCTTCAAAATACGTTCTTTGTTCATGCACGAAGGCGTCAACTGTATGAGTAGAGTATCAGAATGTTTCCATCCACGTCCAATGACGACATGACGCGAGTCATCACATCAAAGGTTGTCAAGCGAACACTTTCCACTGGACTGCACCCTTGGAATAAGGCTTCGACCCTTTTTCGCGATCGGCAAGTCGGAAATGTGGATTGATTGATTGTGCTCCAGTATCCAGAGCGTTACTGGTCGTTCTGGAGCCACAGGCTCGGAATGTCACTCGGGGCCCCATTTGGATCCCAGCCTGGTGTTTGATCTTGTTTCGTCTCCTTTCCCTTTTGGGCATCCCGAAACACCTCCTTCCTCTGTGCCACCCTCAACGCGCCCACAGCTCCCACCACTGCCACCGCTGCCTCCAGCCTTTTCCGTGAGAGGCGCCTTTCCTCTATCCACCGTTCTGATTCAAACTCTCGCATGTCTTTGTCCACGTTTCAGTCCCGTACCCTGCGCTGGCCGTTGAGAAACTTTCCTTCTCCCACATTCCCGTTATCCATCTTGCCAAAGTGTTCTTGGAGCAACTGACTCTTTCTTCTGTTCATATGGCATGAGCCCTCCTCTAGAGCGCACATCCAATTTCCCCTCCGTCGATGGCCTCACGCTAACCTTCTTCGCCCGATGATCTCTCAATTTACCAGGTACTGGCCCCATGCTATCCTGGGATAGTGCCGTTACGGAAAAGGAGCTTGCGACGACCACCCTTTGTACCGTACCAGCTGCACCTCATCGATCTTACCTTCGCTTCTCGCCGTCTTCTTTCGCGACGTGACTGCAGACGACCCTCAGTCCATCCTGCCTACCATTCAATACAAGGCAGGATGTTCCGACACGGGCAAGTCCTTCACAGACGAGAGCCGCAGAACTCAGATGCGCTCAGCACCCTGCCTTCTATTATACCGAATCCCACGTCGGGTCTTCCGCCGTCAATAGGTCTTGATCCGAGTTCTGTCACTCCAAATCCAGCCGTCACAGCTCCCATTGTGACGGCTGAGGCAGTATCTGGACTCACCACCATCACCGAAACACAAACCCTACAGCAGAGCCTTACTGGTCAAGGCATCGAAACCACCTTTACCACCGAACGAACCAGGACTATCACCAACACAGCCGAGTATGCCTCTCTCACTTCAGCGGCTGCGGCTGCAGCCTCCTCGACAGTTTCGCGGTCCTCTTCGACAACGACTGCCGCGGCCACGAGCAGTGCTGCTGCCCAAAAGTCTAGTTCCAACCTCGGTACTCTGATCCCGGCAATTGTTGTCCCGATAGTGGTGGTATTGTTGGCGTCGTTGGGTGTATTTTGGTTTTTCATGAGACGGAGGCATCGGAGAGACCTACATATTGAACCAGAGTTTGTGATGACGGGCAAGGGCGAGAAGTTGAGCAGCCGTTCAAGCAGCAGGTCAACCACATCTATTCCCAAGACACTCGAGAAAAAGTCTCCGGCGGTCGCTCAGAAAGAACTCCCGTCTTCAACCTCGCCACCGACTCCTATGTCTGAATGGCCGTCAGCGCAGATTGGTGTCGCTCGGCCGCTGACCCCGCAAGAATCGAACTCTGCTGGAAAGGACCGACTTTTTGATCAACCGAGATCTCTGACAGCAAACTCTCCCTATAGAAATATGCGGAGCCCGGTCACATCAGGGCGGCCATCGACATCTGGACGAGGAGCCCAGCCACCTTCAAGCCGGGACCAAGGGTCGAGTAGGAGCAGAAGTAACAGCACGCCGGGCCAGCGAGGTCAACCACCAACCTCACGGTCAGGCCCTAGTCCAATCCCTAGGACTGGCCCGAGCCCAGTCTTGCGAAGCGGACCGAGTCCCGTACCTCAACGGCTAAACCCTGCCGAATCTCCACGACCAGGACCACCGTCAGCTTTCCGTTTGCGTGATCCTTCTCCAACTATGAACTTGAGCAACCGAGCACAGGCACCATCGCGGCTTGAGGCTCCGCCGCCGGGCGCTTTCAACGGTGCGTCGTCCATATCACAATACTCACCTATTGTGAAAGATACGCCCGTGATTGCGAAAACACCCACCAACAAACGACCACCGCCACCCATCAAGACTGCCAATCTTGGAGTAAAAGGACTCAAGTCACCCTCTTCACCTCCTGGCCATGGCTTGACAGAGGAAAATCTCCGTATCGCGCGATTGGCCAACTCGTCTCGCCTGGGTCGTACTCCTGGAGACCTCACTCCATCACCC